TGGGACCCTTTGTGTCATCTTATGGTCACATACACATTCTACTTGCAGTTGATTATGTTTCTAAGTGGGTAAAAGCTGTAGCAATTCATTCGAGTAATGCTAAAACAATGATCAGGTTCTTGAAAAAGAACATCTTCTCTTGTTTTGGTACTCCAAGAGCCATCATCAGTGACAAAGGCTCTCACTTCTGCAATAGAGCTTTCACTAATCTGATCGCTAAGTTTGGCATCAAGCATAAGGTTTCTACACCTTATCATCCACAGTCCAATGGTCAAGTAGAGGTGTCAAACAAAGAGATCAAAAGGATATTGGAAAAAGTAGTCAGCAGTTCAAGGACTGATTGGTCTGCTAAGCTTGATGATGCCCTCTGGACATACAAGACTGCTTTTAAGACTCCAATTGACATGTCTCCATTCAAATTGGTGTATGGAAAAGCATGCCACCTTCCTATTGAGTTAGAACACAAGGCATATTGGGCCTTAAGGGAGTTAAATTTGGATCCAAAACTTAGCAGGGAGCATAGGCTTCTGCAACTAACTTAATTGGAGGAATTCAGGCAGGAAGCTTATGAGTCTTCCAGAATCTATAAGGAGAAGTCAAAGGGATTCCATGACAAGAAGCTGGTCACGAAGCAACTGGAGGTAGGACAGTTGGTCCTGCTCTACAATTCCAGGTTGAGGCTCTTCCCTGGAAAGTTGAAATCCAGATGTGGAGGCCCTTATAAGATCAGCAAGATTCTGAGCCAAGGGCCAATAGAGCTGATGAACCTATGGACAGGGAGCACATTCTTGGTGAACGAACAATGGCTGAAGCCATATATGGGAGTACACTCTAAAGGAGAACATGACAGTCATGTTCTATCACAGTCTGGCATAAGACTATAAACTGTTGCTCTACTTGGGAGACAACCCAAGCACTTTTGTTCTAACCCTATCTCCTGTAGTATTTTTGTTTTGCAGGTGAATTTCCAACCCAGATGAGAAGCCAGAATCCCACGATGAGTGATGATCAATATCTGATGAATGTCATAAAGAGGAACAAGGAAAAGCATCATCACTCTGAGATATAGGATAACCACTTCCAGAAGTCAGTTTCTGACTTGCGAAAGTCATTTTTACTTTTCAAAATGCAAGTAAGTTGGCCTTTGACTTTGGCAAGCGGTCTTGACTCTAAGTTTGCGAGGGGGGGGGGGATGACTGTGCTGTAATAAGTATTTTGGTGGCCAGAAAAAATCTTTTTGACATACGAAAAGACTGGGCATGGGGAGTTGTTACCTTTCACTTAAACTCTATGCCCTCCCACGACCCAACGTGCTTTATTCTCTCTCCTTCTTCAACCTCTTGCACAACCATCTTCCTTAATACTCTTCCTGGACAGTAGCATATTCCCTATTTTTACTGAAACCTAATTCCCTTGATTTACATCTGGACAAACGGTACCAATAGTCAAGCAACCAGCAAGGAAACGTACCCTGCAAATACACGGGATCAGATTTCCATCGGTACATCCAGTGCTGCAATTAACACCGATCGCAGAATCAGAGGACTTAGAGGAAGATAAGGCAGAGATCACACGGTGTTTGCAAGAACCCCGGGATGAAAATTTCTTCCTAACTAATCAAGCTTTGGAGTTTTACAAACAGAACTGGAAGAGGAAAGCTAATGTTGAGCGTCGGCTTAAGAATGATGGAAACCCTTCCACCTACATTGAAGATAAGGGTTGGGAAGGATTATGTAATCCAGGAGTCAGACCACGCCTTCTGCTGATCAGGGAGTTCTATGCCAATTTTGCAGGAGCCCAGGGTGAACGACGCTACATATTTGTTAGGGGCTTTACTGTGGAAGTTAGTGTAGAAGCAATCCAGGATGTGCTGGGACTACCATAAGTGAACAATGATTGGCAATATGACGGTGCCAATCAATTCATTAAAGTGGATGTTTGGGATTCCATCAAGCTGGTCCTCTGCAACAACCATAAACAGGTTGAATGGATCACCAATAAAGATGGAGATCCACTGCATTTCCCTGCTATGCACCTCAAGGATCAGTATAGGGGCTGGTTCAACCTGGTGTGCACTAACATCATGCCAACACAATCACACCGGTTGGTTTCTTTCTCGAGAGCTCTGCTGGTCTATGCTATTTTTAACGACATCAACATTGATGTCACTTCCATCATCCTCCAACAAATTGAGGAATGCGCCACTAAGAAGGTGCTGAAGCATTGGTTTTTCCCTATTTTGATCACAATGCTGATGGATAGAGCCGGGGTTCACTATGGACCTCGAGACAAGAAAGGGGAGTTCCAATTGCCTTGGCATTTGACACCACCACCACCGCTGCCACCATTTGCTGGAGTATCCTATCCTGAAGTTCAGGAGTCACCAGGGAAGTCCTTAGTTCCTTTTTCTTTTTCATTTTCTATTTTTATTTGCATTTTTTTCTGTTTCCGTGTGTCTGTTGCTTCTCTTAATCTCCTCTTCCATTTTCTTTTTACTCAGCATTGAGGGCAATGCTGGATTTTAAGTTTGGGGAAGGGTGTGAAGTGAATCAACCATGTCTAGGAATTAGTCTTCTAAGTCTCTCTCTGTCTCTTTTTTTTCTGTCTGTTTGAGTCTTTGTTTTTGGGCACTTGCCCTCTTTTTTCCTATTTTTCTTCTATTTTTTTTGTTTTCTGTGTCCCTCTCTGGGATCGAGTCAGTCTTCTGTCTTTTTGTGTCTAGGAAAGTAAAAAATGCATGCTCTGTAGATAGTCAATTGTCGATGATGAAAACAAATTGAATCTCAAAATTTGGCTGAACACTTGTTTAGAGCTGTCTTGATCATCTCAGAACTTACTTCCACTTCCTCATGTCACAAAGTCACTTGACAAAGTGTGTTCCTGGACTTAAAATACTTAAAATTAAAAAATTTCTTGCATTGCTGTGATCTGTACGGGAGCTCACTTGTTTGTTAACCTGGGGGGATTGTAAACCTGGATAGAGATTAAGGCAAACCCTATGCATTATGGCAGCCTCAATTCAAGCCCATAGTGGTTTGGAATCGCTTGAAATACCCCTTGGGGAAAAGGGGAAGTAGGCGGATTAATCTGAGGTTTTCTGTTTAACTAATTGAGGGAGTATAGGTAGAGTGTCTAATAAGGCACTATAAACCCTTGAGAGGTGAGGCATGGCAACCAAAGAGAGGAGTGTCCTCAGGCCTAGTGAGGTGAAAAATACAAATACTTAAAATGCTAAATAGAGCTGAAAAAATGTGCTTGGCTAAGGCTTAAGTGGGAAAGATCCAGAAGAAAAGCCAATACGGACAGAAGAAAAGGGGTATGAGGGTGAATGATGCAACCAATGTGCTTGCAGAACAACGAGGAAGGCCTTAGTCAAAATTCTAGTTAGAATACCCTAGTTGCAGACTTGATGGAAATAGGTATAGATCCAGGAATGTCTACTGTGCTTAACTGAATTTAAATTAAGAATGGAATTCAACACTTTGTTCTGTGATTCTCATCCATACGCTTGGGGAAGTGAGTTTTTGACTTGCTCAAGTGGTTCAGAACTTCTGCATTAGCCTGCGATGAGATCAATTCCTGAGACAAAAATTTGACTGTTTCATTTGCTGGATTTTCTATTTTTCAGTCTGTATGGGGGGTAGATGTTTTGTTTGCTTAAGGACAAGCAACTCTTTAAGTTTGGGGGAGTTGATGAGTGCATTTCGTACTATGTTTTTAAGCATACAATTTACCTCTTTATGCTTTACTTATAGGTCAATTAGGTTAGGTTTATATAGTTATAGGCTAATTTGGTGACTTGTGGTTGTCCAGGGACTGAAATGCAATATGGGAGTTAGAATTAACCGGTGACGAGGGGGTAATAGCCCAAAGTTTCAAACAACAATAGAAGTTAGTTGTTTGGCACGAGGCAATCATAAGTGCTTAAGATCTTAATGGCTTAGTAGTAATCGAGTCGACAACTGGAGTTAGTTTACTAGTTAATACTAGGACTGCTGTTTGGAACAATCGAAAGTGACCTTACAGTGTTTATGTGCCTAATTTAATAAGTTTCATACCACATAGAAAGCTAAAAGAATCAATACATATGTATATAGAGTAGAGTGAAGGACGACACTAGGCTTCCATCACTTTGCCAAGTCTTTTATTCACTTGGCAATCTGTTGTTTTTACTTTTGTCTTGTTTTCTAGTACTAGATCCCTATTTTCATTAAGTGTTTCCCGCCTCTGTGGGATCGACCCTTCTTATCACTTGCTACAAGTTTTAAGTAGGTTTAGTTTGGTGATCTCGACACCCATCAGTACATCAAAACAACATTCACATTTTCAACATTCATTTTCTTCTAAACAACAACAAAAGGCACGAATTAGCAAGATATATAAAAAACAATGTAGAGGCATGAAAAGTAATAAACATATAAAAGGCCAAGAGCCATATACGGTAGAATGTCGGTAAATTAATAATCTATAAATTAATAATTCTAGTAATTAATAATTTTTTATGGTCCTAACTTGGGACCCATACAAAAAGTACAAGAAAATCAATAAAATGATAAAATAAGAATGTTTCTAAAGATATCCAACAATGCCATAAATTAATAAATATCCTAACACTAATTTTTTTCTCTCCAACGTCTCTCTACATACCCTAACACTATCCGAAGGTTTTTTCAATGGTGGCGGCTAATCGGCTGCCAGACAAAATCTGGCCAAATCAGCCTTCTTTTGTCCAAATATTGAATGGCTCTAAACCAAATCCGTGAAGCTTGATCCAGCCAACAGGGAAGGTGACTATTGATAGGCCTTTCATCACCTCCAAGCTGTCTCTCTATAAAGGAGAACCGGCCTTCTTGTTGTCCAAAGAGGAAGATGACAAACTAGCCTCTCCCTTCCAATTCTCGCTTATTAACAAATTCTCAAAGGGGAGGCCAAAAATGGATTTCTTATAGCAAAGTTTTCGTACGGTTGGATTTAAAGGTAATTATTCTTATTCTCTTGGAATGATTGATCACAGGCATATTCATATTCACTTTGATTTGGAAGAAGATTTTCACTGTTGTTGGATCAAGGGGTTGTGGTCTTTTGATCACCACATACTGAGGGTTCTCAAATGGACACCACAATTCAATCTAGCATATGAATCATCCATTGTACCAGCGTGGGTTGCATTCGGAGCATTGCCGATCCACAGATTTAATGAAGAATATTTGAGAGTATTGGCTAGCATCATAGGAACACCTCTCAAAATCGATGTCCTGACTCTGAATTTATCAAGGCCATCTATTGCTCGTGTATGTGTGGAAGTTGATCTACTCCATGAATTTCCCAAGAGAATTCGTGTTGGCACAGAGGAACTTTCATACTTTCAACCAATTACATATGAGAATCTTCCAGAATACTATTTAGAGTGTGAAAAGGTCGGGCATGCTTCAAAAGAGTGTCGACATGGGAAAGCTAGGGTTTCGCAGCCAACAAATCCGAAGGTAATTTTGACCAAAAATGATAAGCAGACTACCAACACAAATGTTCACAGCAATGTCTGGAAACCAAAAGGAAAAAACTCAGAAGGGCCTGTTATTATAGAGGAAATTGGGATGAAAGCATCTTCATCAGAGTTAACAGCGAAAGAAAAAGAGCGGATTCCGATTGATGTGGAAGCCAAAGGTACACCAACTCAGTTAATCTCTTCAACTAAAAATGTTAATTCAGAAGCTCGCTGTTTCCTTTACCAGATTTGATATATTAGCGGAGATAACTGATGACCGGGCACTTGAAGAGGAGAATGGGGAGTCTCAAATTGAAAAGGAGCAGCTTAATGAAGTACTTAACAGAGATGATGACTCAGAATCAGAACCGGAACAGTACAACAAGGAAACATCATTCAGTCAGGAATCAGGGAAATTGAACTCAACTGCATATGCTCGCGATGACAATGCAATTAGAATGTATCATGAAGCTGGTATGAACTTCCTTCACGAATAGTGGTATTGGATCAAGAAGGGAAAAGGAAGAAAGCTGGTAGGCCGAGAGGATCGACAAAGGCCAAGAAAAATCAAGGTACTGAAACTCGTAAATCAGCGAGGCTCCATGGTTAATCTCCAATAAAAATTTCCAATGATTAATCAAATCATATGGAATATTCGTGGTATTGGAATAAGGCGTCTCTTCGCCGTCTTGAAAATTTAATAGCTATGCATTCCATTTCTTTTGTCATAATTTTAGAGCCTCTACAGCCAGCTTCTAAATTGGAAGAGCTGAGGAATAAAATCCACCTATGTTACCTGGACTCGGATATGGGTGTCGTATCAGGTGCGGGGAAGTTTCCTTGTTATACTGTTCCAGTTCTTTCATGCCTCTCACTGTCGGAAAGAAAAACGCGGCTTCGGATTCATAAAATCAGGGGACATGATGGCTCTTGGCTATCCAACAGACATGATATTGAACGAGAGACGGTGTCTTTCTTTCAAAATTTGCTAAAGGATAAAGCAGCCGAGTTTCACGATGAGGCAAGCAGAAAGGTATTGGCCAATATTCCTTCAATTTTGGTAGAGGCAGACAATGAGAGTTTGTTGCGGCAATTAACACTTGGCGAGCTTAAGGAAGCGGTGTATAGTCTTGACTCCACAAGTGCTTCGGGAATTGATGGGTTTTGTGAAGATATTTTATAGGCATTGTTGGCCTATTATCAATCAAGATTTAATGGCAGCTTGCATGGAATTTATGAGGGGTGTCCCGATCCCTAGGGCAATCACTAGTACGATTATCACTTTGCTCCCGAAGACAGCAACGGCAACATCTTTTGCAGACTTTGCCCGATAAGTTTGGGTAATTTTTTCAATAAGGTGTTCACAAAGATAATAACAGAAAGAGTGAAAAAGGTGCTTCCTAAATTAATATCGGAAGAGCAATCAGTTTTCTTGGAAGGTCGCGATATAATGGACAATATTCTTATGACTCAAGACCTTATTCAATTTCTTCATCACAAAGCAGGGGGGGAATCTAATATTGAAAGTGGATATGATGAAAGCTTTCGACCGAGTTTCATGGAGTTTCTTGCAATAGGTTTTATTGAAGTTCGGCTTTCATCAAAGTTTTGTAAATTTGATCATGATGAATTTAACAAGAAGCTGGGTTCTCAATTCTTCTTAACGGAAGTCCGATTGGCTACTTTCAAGCTTTGCGTGGTATAAAAAAGGTGATCCTCTATCGCCCTACCTTTTTATTTTGTTGTTAGAAGCCTTCACTCGAAACATGAAAAAGCTCAAGGAAATTGGATTACTAGCATCATACGGAGTTCCAACTAGGGCTGTAGTACCATCTCATTTGTGTTTTGCAGATGATCTAATCATTTTTACAAGAGGGCTATAAAACTCTATGCAGCAGCTGACGAGTTTTTTTCCGGAATTACGAAGATGCTACCAAGCAGAAAATGAATAAGCGAAAAAAGTACTTTCTTTGTTTCGGACGAGAGCTCAAGGGATCGAATTTCTATAATTGAGAATACACTACAAATGCAAAGAGGCACATTCCCCTTCATGTATTTAGGATGCAAGTTGTTCAAGGGAAGGAAAAAAGTGGAATATTTCCAGCACTTGCTTGATGCTTTTGATGCTAAGTTGCTGAATTGGAAGAACCATTTCTTGTCGCAAGGTGGGCGTTTGTTGCTGATTAAGCATGTTCTGTCGGTGATTCGTCTTCATACTATTGCAGCCATTTTCCCTCCAAAAGCAATCATAGAAAGTCTCGAGCGGAAATGTCAGAACTTGATCATTTGGGGAGAAACTAAAGAAGGCCATAAACGGCATTGGCGAGCTCGGCGAAAACTTACTTATCCAGTAAAGAAAATGGTTTAGGCATTCGCAATCTAGAGTACATGATTCAAGCTTTCTCCTTGAAGCTCTGGTGGAAATTAAAATCAGAGAAAGGAATATGGTCCAGGTTTATCTCTATCTCCCACATCAAAAGAGAAAACAAGCTTGTCACAGGTTGTAAAGCTAGATCAATTGGCTGCTTCCCGAAGTAAAATAGTTATTTGTGATGGTTCCTCTTCTTTTTGGCCCGATCCATGGATTCAGGAGCGATTTGAAATGATCCCGGAGACCCACCTATTCTAAACTTAACAATAAAGGATTTTTATCTGTCCAAAGATTTTTTCATGCAGGTTTTTTCAGGTTTGATACATCCAAGTAAAATGGACCAGCTTCGGAATTTGGAGCTGATTTTTGCGGCTGAAAAGGATTCTATGTGTGAAAACCAACAGTGACGGGTACCGCATAGAGAAGAACTTCTTCCTTTAAAATTTTTTTACCATAAGTTAATTCCGGTTAAAATTTCTTTTTTTTTTATGTGAAAACTCTTTAATAACTTGTTGCCTTTTCCTGAAATTTTACAGAAATTTGGAATGGTCATGAGCCCTTCGAGATGTCCATTTTGTCATGCGGAGGAAGATCGCATTGAACATTCTTTTATGCTTGTCAACAAATCATTCATGTTTGGAATCATTTTGCCACTCTATTTGGAATTATGATTCCTAATAATGCAGGATTATGGACAAGCTTGCAAACTTGGAAATCAAGTGGAAGTTTTACTTCAGCAAAAAAAATCAATAATGATGGTCATACCAATCTTTATCTTGTGGGAAATATGGAAGTTGAGGAAGAAAGTGGTTTATGATGGCATGTCTTTCTCTTTGAATTTTTTGATTAAAGAAATCATGACTAATATTTCGAATATGTTAAGTGTTCATGATTTGAAAGCCAAGACCATAAAGGAGCAAAGAAACTTAGAAGATCTTTTCAAAGTGAAGGTTCTCCGGTCACAAAATAAGAAGACCACGGTATTGAAATGGAAACCTCCAGATCCAGGGAAAACAATTTTAAACACAGACGGATCTGCTCTAGGTCATTCAGGTGAGGTGGGATGGGGATATGTCATACGAGGTGAAAATGGCTCATTTACATTTGCAGAATGCTGCTATATGGGAAATGCTACAAGTTTTGAAGCCGAAATAGCAGCCATCTACAATGGACTAAAAGCTTGAGAGGAACGGGGTTTAACTCGAGTGATAGTTCAAACAAACAATAAAGGTATTGCTTCATTGATACAGAAGGGCAAAGAATTTCCATGGAAGCAATATATGTACTTGAAAAGTATACAACACAAGTTGATCACCTCAAATTCCAAACTTGTTCATATCTTTCGAGAGGTCAATAGCGTGGCAGATGAACTAGTTAGAGTACCTTCTGCTGGGAGTACCTTACAATATCACACACAGGAAGCTCTCACACCTTCACTACAAGGTAAGAACTATTTAGATCGAAATAGTTTTCCTTACTTCCGTGTTAGATAGATTTTTGTTTTAAAAAAATGTATAGAATAGGATAAATAGAGATGTCATGGGATTTTGTTTAAGATCTTTATAAGACAATCTCTAAGTTTATTTTAAAAATTTCAAGAACTGTCATGGGATATATTCTCATCTTTGTAAGACATTTTATAGCTATAGTTTTGTTAGAGAACTATCATGGAGTTTTTAGACAAACTTTTATACGACGGTCTCTTTTGAATTTGGTAAGTCTTAAACACTGCACTTTATAATTTTTTTTCTCTTTCAATCAATAAAATCGGGGAAATGCCCGCCAGGTACCGCCCTAGTTCTCTTAAAAAATAATAAATACCCTAAAAATAAAAACAAAAAATACTAATAACTATAAATATTTAGTAAAATATGAATTATGGATAATGGTTTTTTTATCCCTAGAGGTGATATGAACTATATATGGATTTTTTTAGTATTCAAAAGAGTTTTAATAGTTGATTGATTTAGATGTAAAGACAATTACAAATTAAGTAATTTAGTGAAATTAAGTAATTCGATATACCTCTTTTTGCTTTCGATCTTGCTAGTTGTCCAGTTTCAATTTTAACTTTTAGTTCAATTTGTATTAAAAAAGGAAATTTAAATTGTACAATAATTTGGGGCGGAGGAAATATTGTACCTGAAATTTAGTCCAATTTTGTGACGGTTAGGGCGGCAAGGAGGCGCGCGCTTCTAATCCTTTTCCAATTAGGAAACTACAATGCATATCAAATGCGCGAAAAATCTTTCTTTAAATACCCCGATACTGCCGCCAACTCTTTTTAATACAGAAACAAACAAACGTAAAAAAGAAAGGAAAGAGAGCGAAAAAGATGGATCTTACCGTTCGAGTTGTGAACTCCAGTAATTTGCGTGAAGAATTTCGTAAGATCAGCGCTATTATACGGCAGAATCGCACCTCCTTTGTGTCCGTGGATACTGAATTTCCTGGTACAATTCACAAACCCCAAAAGCCATACTTCAGACTGACGGGAGAAGAGAATTACTGTCTGATGCGGGACAACATGAATCAACTCAAGCTGATCCAACTGGGTCTTACTGTATCCAACGAATCTGGAAAACCCATCTGCACTTAGGAATTTGATTTCAAAGATTTCGATGTTGAAAGCGAAAGCGGCGACCCAAGGGATGCTGATTCCATTAAACTGTTGCAGAAACAGGGCATCGATTTCTTCACAAATCGAGTTGAAGGCATTAGTTCCGTAACTTCGCCAGGGAATTCGCATCTTCTGAACTGGGTTTTCCCGTGAGATCGTTTTTGGCATCTGGGATGATCTCGGAATTCAATCCACATCTGAATTGGGTGTTTTTCCACTCGACCTATGACATTGTATACTTAATTAAGATCCTGACCCAAAAGTCACTTCCAGATCAGTCAATTGAATTTCTGAAAGTGTTGAAGATGTATCTGGGAGAACGATGTTATGACCTCAAAGAAATCCTTTCGGCTGAACCTTTCGGGTGGCGGCATTATGGGCTTGACCGAATTGCTTCAAATTTCAACCTTAAGCGATTGGCCAGACAGAGTCATCAAGCAGGGTCCGACAGTTTACTGACTATGGATTGTTTCTTTGCTGCAATGAAGGTCTTATTTCATCGTAGAGGGGACAGCTGCTTAAAATTTGCATTTCAGGCCTTCAACTACAAGCTTTATGGTCTTGACATAGATGCTACAATAATAAGGAAAGTGGATCCAATGGAAAATAGACTGATGCATGAGTATGCTCCGGTGAATTACCATCCTCCTCCATACGCCATAAGGCCTCCTGTTGGTCTTCATGTTCCTGTCATGCCAATGAGAAGATTCCAAGTGGACGCACAGTTCAGGTTCCGATTTTCTTCCTAATCCTTGGATTGTAGTACAGTATATAAATGTAGACTTGTATTGTGGAGTTCTATCAATTATAGTCTTGGTCAAAATCGTAGAAAATAGTAGTGCAATATACAAATGTAGACTTAGAGTTTTATCACTCGTTTTTTTTTGTCAAAGTTGGACAAAATACTTCAAATCAAATCAAATCAAATCTCATTCCTTTCAATTAGTTTCTTTCAATCTTATGTATGCGCTTATGTTGTCTTTAATGTTATGAAGTCAGCTATGTCAAAAGCCTTTAAAGGTGAGTTTCTGTAGATACTTACGGGTGCGGTAGTGTTGTTTTGAGTAGGGTTTCCTTTTTGACAATTGTGAAGATCTGATTTTCTCGGTTATGTAGTGATGAACCAATGTACTTTGTTTTGATATAGAGGATCCGAAGTTCTAATAAAAGATCGATCCATGCCATTCTAACTCAGTGGAGCAGCAAGATGATCTTACAAATTGGCAACTTAATGATTATTTTCTTCCTGATCATTTGATGCAATATCTTCAAGTACAAAATGCAGCCAGAGAAGACTTTGCATACATCCAATGTTTACTTCGGTAGACAGGCCAGGTAGATGTATCAGTTCTGTTTTTACTTCCTAATTAATAAAAATTCGCTGAAAGTGTGAGTTTCAGCTTTTGGTTTTCCTCCTCTTTTTTCTCTATTTGGTCTGTGCACGTCTCTGGGTTTTGTGCTTGGTCACTGCTAATGTTGATTAGCAGTTTCTATTGTTTCGCACAGTACTTTTGTTGCTGCATTTGTTTTGTTTGATGACTCTTTTTAACTCTGCTTTGTGAGGTGGGCTTGTTCGCCTTTGTGTAAAGTTACATGAATTTCAAATACATGGAAAATTCCATAATGGGATATGGTGAATGAGTACTTGCTAGGTTGAAAATGGCATGTCCTACGTAGCTTGGTATCTTAAATAAAGTGGAAATACAAATACAATAGTGTTCAAGGTACGGTGTAGAGGAAGTATTTCTTTTAGAATGTTTAGAATCATAGCTTTAGTAGATGACCTTTTTTCCTGCTGTGTATTCAGCTCTATGGGGTGCAGCAAAATGTTTGGCTGGCTAATTTTGGCAGTAGCATGAGATTCAATTGTGTTTCTTTAAGATTATACTATTTGTTTCACATCTTCGACCTCATATCGCCTGGAGCTGTTAATTGCTATCACTGCAGCACCATTCCCTCTTATTTACAAATAGTATGCATTAGGCTTTTGGTTGGGTACACAAATGGAGACCTGAAAAGTGGATCTGAGGGAGCCACTAGGTTTAGATCACCATCTCGATAGTAATGGAGTTTTTCCATCTTTTTATATTTTGTGCTGGGCCTACCCAAACTATATGTTGTTGATTCTAAGAATTTTGATTCTCCATGTCCAGAGAAGTTCTTTTTTTTCCTTTCCTTTTTATTTTTTGGCAGGGAAATCGGTTTAATTTTTCTTCTCATGATGTTTGTTTGCATCCAAAGAACCCCCTTTGGGCCTCGGATTGACCTCTATGTCACTCTTATAATTGTTCAAGTCATTGTCAATATTGTCTTTGGGTGTATTTGCTGCAGAAGAGGTTCATCCCGGCAAACTCTTGCTGGAAACTTGCATTCATCTATACCCTGGTTAATTTCCTGATGCAAAACTTCTTCTAATTCCTGATCAAGTATTGCATGTGCTGTTTACATGTCAGTTCTTCTGTTTATACCAACCTGACTACACCGTTTTTCTCATAAGTCCATCTATCTGCTGCTAAAAAAGTCAGTCCCGAGCATAAATTGTCGAAAACAAAAAAAAAAGACTATATATCTCACATGGTAGAAGAATGCTATCATCAACATAATTGTATCTTGAGGTGGTTCGTCGCACAATTATTGAGTACATCCACAAATTACTTGGAATGGGGAAGATGACGATGATAGGAATAATGCGAGGAAACTTTTTACTAGCTCAGGTACGTTCTATGAAAGAACCCAATTACAGTACTTTTGCATTGTAACTTCTTAACAGTATATAAAGCTGGCTAGTACTCAACAAATACTGTCCAAGTGAACAAATGGTTTAGTAGTGGCTTTTGGTGCAACTTCTGTGTCCTCAGCATGAGTAACACATACATTCCAGAACCCGAGTCCAGGCCATGTAAATAATTTAAAACTATAAAGTCTCTAGGATTACCTCCAGCTGTTGAAGTTTGAGTGATGAACTGGAGTTGGAACCATATGCCTGCAAAATAGTGTAAAAGAGTTTTCTGACATGTCACCTATTACGTGAAACGTGAGTACTGATGGTGTATCACAATCATAGTTATATAGACAAAGCTAGGACCCTTCTATTATCATCCGCAATTATCCCGTCCATCAAGAGAAAATGATAACAACAAATTGATTCCAGATAAAACTTTAATAAATAGTAATTATCTTAATCACCATTTCAAATAACAAATAACCAATAATTATCATACTTGACGCTAAGTATGTGGTCCACTAATTAGGATAATTTACATTCTCCCACTTGGACCACATATGTTCAGACAAATTGTATTTTTTAATAACTGATGCAAATATGTCCATAAGTTTTGATACCACTTAACTAAGATAATGATTAAATCATAGATAGAAACATAATGCAAGAATTATGGCGGTTATGCTTTTAGAGTGAAGCACTCCCTTCCATTATTACAGTGCAATGTGTTTCTAATGAAATGAACAACTTATAAGCTATTTAGGGTCCACATTGTTGATCAAAGATCACTTATTACATGGAAGGAGAAAGTATTGAGCACATCTTCTTTGGCTGTTCAAAGGTAAGTCAGATATGGAACCATTTGAATTCAGTTATGGGTATAACTTCCTACAATTATACAGGATGGTGGAGTAATCTTCAGGCATGGCATTCAGCTGGAAGTTATGCTACGGTAAGAAAAACAATTATTATGGTTCTTCTAATCTTTTTACTATGGGAAGTATGGAAGCTCCGTAATACAATCATATTCGAAGGTAAAGATTTTTCCTCAAAAGCCTTGGTATATGCAATTATATCTCATGTTTCAAATATCTTGAGTGTTCATAAGCTGCAAGCGAAATCAGAGAACGAAAGACAAGAGATAGAGGAAATTTTCAGAATACAGATTTCAACTCAACTAAGGAAAACAACTTTAGCTTTGAGATGGCAACCGCCAGACCCAGGGGAAACAGTTCTAAATATAGATGGTTCAGCGCTAGGGCAGCCAAGAGAAGCTGGTTGGGATTTTTCAATTCAAGGCCATAATGGATCATTTGTGCGAGCTAAATGCAAGCAAATGGGTGTAGCAACTTGCCTGGAAGCAGAATTAAATGACATTCTCTATGGAGTAAGAGCCTGCAAAGAAAGAAGTATCAGCCGAGTAATTATCCAAACAGATAGCAAGGCAATCATCAATATTCTGCACAAAAAAAAAAAAAGATTTCCGTGGCAATTCCATTCAATTCTTAAAGACATTCAGGAAATGCTTACAACTTCTACTTCAAAAATTGTTCAAATCTTTCGGGAAGCCAATGCCATGGCTGATAAGTCAACCAAAAGCGCTTCGAGGGGAGAAACAAAACAATATCTTCATCAAAATGAACTCCCAGCCACACTGAGAGGTAAATGATATTTAGATAAATGCTCTTTTCCTTATTTGAGGATTAAATAGCATTTAGTAATCTACATGACCTTCATAGTAATAGATAGGACTCTAGCATAGCTAAGTTAGAATTAGATTTTTAAAAAAAATAGAAAAGAAGTGTCATGGGGTTAATGTTTTAAACCTTTGTGAGACACACTCTTAGCTTAGTTTTTATCTCTTTTTTTTTTTTTGGCATTTAAAAGGAGATACCATGGGATTATAGTCAAATCTTTGTATGGCATCATCTTAGTTGTTAATTTAAAGAGCTGTCATGAGATTTTAGAAAATCTTTATACAAAAGACTCTTTTCTTTGGGTAACTCTTAAGCACTGTCTGTATAATTTTTCTTTGATTATCAATAAAATCGGGGGATGACCACCATGTACTATCCTGGTTCTCTTAAAAAAAAAAATGTATAAACTGAAATGCACAAAAACATAAATGTCTAGACAAAACAAATAGCCAGAGAATACAATCTAAAATGGGCTAACAAGTCCCATATGATTTATATGACCCTCATAGACTTTAGCCGGGAATCCTTTAGTCATAGGATCAACAATCATTTCATGAGTTCTATGCTCAAGAGATCTTTCCCTTTCAAATATAATTTTTGACCATTAAGTACTTTATGTCGATGTGTTTGCTGCGACTCCCACTTTTGTTATTAGTTGAAAAATCAACTGCAGTGGAGTTATCACAAAAGATCTTCATTGGTCTGCTAATACTATCGACAATTTTAAGACCTAAAATGAAGTTCTTCATCCATAATACCTGTGATGTAGCTTGATAGCACATAACAAATTCAGCTTCCATAGCGGATGTAGCAACTATAGTTTGCTTGACACTTCTCCAAGATACAGCTCCTCCAGCGAGAAGAAAAATGTATGCAGAAGTAGATATGCCATAATACACACATCCGGCTATTTCTGAATCTGAATAACCAACCACATCCAAACGGTTGGAACGCCCATATGTGAGCATATAATCCTTGGTCCCTCGTAGGTATCTTATAACCCTCATGGTGGCTCTCCAATGTTCCATCCCAGGGTTACTTTGGAATCTACTTAGAGGTCCAACAGTAAATGCAATATTAGATCTAGTACAGACCAAAGCATACATGAGGCTTCCAATGAGCGATGCATACATAATGCTTTTCATTTGATCCCCCTCTAGTGCATTTTGAGGACACTAATCTATGCTAAAATTTTCTCCTTTCACAATGGATACTGCAAGCGATGAGTAATTATGCATCCCAAGCCTTTCAAAAACTTGGTTGATGTTAGGCCTTTTGAGATAAACCAAGCAATTTAGGAGATCTATCTCGATGAATTTCTATGCCAACA